TTTTGAAAATAATTTTATTGAGAAACAAATAGCAATGAGACAGTTTCAAAACTAATTACTAGCACAGTTTCAATAATTAATAAGTTTCATATTGTTGTCTTAGTGGTTATTGATTGTACAAGATGTAGAGATGATATCCTGTCCAAAAATACTATTAGAATAAATCTCTCTATTCATTGAATTAAAAGAATGCAGCTATATATCTATCCTATTTTGAATATACAGATACAAAATAGTTGTTCATTTGTATCCCCCCTCTTTGTTGAGTTTTGTCAGAGAAGGGTATTCCATTGCCATTTAAATATTGTAGGTGTGTGAATTCAGCAAAATATTCCAATATAGTCCAGTAGTCCATAATAGTAGTGGGTTTTCCATAAGACTGGAAATGTCAGAAGTTGTTAACTTGAGCCTTTTACAGCTCAGCACATTAATATAATATAGTATAGTTTACTTTTTATACTTTGGTTTTTTTATAATTTTATTGAGAAACAAATAGCAATGAGACAGTTTCAAATCAAATTGGTGGGACAGTTTCAATAATTAACACATTGCATACATTCTTCCTAGTGGTTATTTCCTGTACAAGATACAGACATGATATACTATTTACAAACACTATTACAACAAATCTCTCTATTCATTAAGAGAATGTAACTATATATCCTAACCATTTTGAATACACAGATAGAAAGTGGACATTCATCTATAGCCCCTTTTTTGTTTAATTCTATCATTTGAATATTATAGGTATGTTAACTCAGCAAAATGTTCTAGAAGAGTCCAGTAGTTCATAATAGTATTGGGTCTACTGCTTGACTGGCAATGTCAGAAATTGTTGACCTGATTCCCCTACAGCACAACATAACAGCATGGCTTCTTATACTTCGTTTTTATGCTTTTCTGCTAGATAGTTAAGACTTTATCAGATTCAAAAGCTACAACTCTTGTTGAAAGAGTGCTTCTCGATGCTCACTGGTTATTGCAGTCTGGAAGTGGGGAAAGAGAGAGGGCAGGGGAAGGGGAGAGGGGGAGGGGAAAGCAGAAAGAGAGGGAGAGTGTGTGCGTGCAAGAGAGCAAGCTCTGGGGACAAGAATATGCCCTTCCAGATTGCATGCATGGGACCCGCCTCTGAGCTCCTATAGCACATTCAGCTAGGAACTCACCAGTGCATTAATCTGATGATCCAGTCACCTTCCAAGCCCCCACCTCTGGACACTTGAAGCTTTGGGGGATACATTTCAGATCTAAATGACTACATATAGCATTGTGTAACTCTCAGCAAAATCAAAATTTTCCTTGAAAGAAACAACATCTCACTTAACAGCCAGTCTCCATTTCCTTCTCCTTCATGTTTTACTAAACTCAGACAACCACTAAACTATTTTAAGTGTCTATAGATTTCCTTGTTCTGGACATTTCATGTAAATATTATGTAAAAGTCTTTTATGAGTTTCATTTAGCATAATATTTTCAAGTTGTAACACTGTATCCTTATTGTACCATAAATCATTATTGCATTCCTTTTTGTGCCCCAAACTATGCTGTTTTTTATATATAATACTTATGTACAGCAGAATATATGTGGGCATATAAGCATATATAATTGCTGTCATTTACTTACACTTGCTGGACATTTTTTTTCCACATTATGGCTAATGTGAAAAATGTATTAAGAATCATGTATATTTGTGAGTTTTTGTGTGTACATGCTTTCAGTTCTCTTTAGTAGATGGTTAGGACTAGAACTTCTGGGTCTTATGAGAATTTGGCTACTTTGTGCTGCTGTGACAATATGTCTTAGGCTGGGCATCTAAAGGAAATTTATTTTTTGAAGGCTAGAAAGGCCAGGATCAAATTTCTGTCAGATCTCTCCCACTCCTGTGCTGAGTTTGAACCCAGGGCCTGGGTGCATGATAGACAAGTGCTCTTCCATTGCATTATATCCCTATCCCTTTTTTTTAAATTTTACTTTTAGACAAGATAAAATTGAACTGAATTGCTCAGGCTGTCTTCAAACTTGAGATGTTACTTCCTCAGCCTCCCTATTAAGTGTGATTGCAGGTACGCAACACCATGTCTAGCTAAGGTCTGCTGTTTGCTTGTCTGTGAGAGTTTTCTACTTCACGAGTAATTACCTTTTTGCTGTGTCTAACATGGGGATTGGACGAAGAGAGTTCTGGTATCCCTTATCATAATAGCACCAGTTCTATTAGATAAGGGCTCAGTCTTCATGATCTTATTAACCATAACCATATCCTAGGGGTCCTTTCACCAATATGGCCACATACAGTGGGATTAGGTTTTAATGTATGGATCTTGAGCAAACAAAAATCAGTATATAACATAATTTTTTTATGTTTAACATTTTGATAAGCTCCCAACTTTTAAGTGTCAACTTTTCCCCTTTCAATTTAGAAATGAGATAGGAATGAATATGGGAAAGAAAAATACTAATTCATAAATATTCCTTGATCTTTAGCTCATTTGGTGGACCTGCGTGGTTTCCCTCATAATCACTCTTCTTGAGCATAGTGAGGGCCCTTCTGAGAATGAAAAGGATATTATCATGAATTATATGGAAGCAACGTACACTGGAACTATGTTAGGCAAATTATGATGAATGATCTCTCAGTCCACAAGTAAGAAGGAAGACTTATTTCCAGGTTTATCTTTTTTTTCATTTTGACAGAAAGTCACTGGCAGTAGGGAGGAGGCATCAGTTATGACGTCAGTCACAGGAACTTTTGTCTCCACTTTGCATTTTGTCTCAATCCCTTAAAAGGATTTTTTGGAAGGGCATGATGATACCTACCTCTTTAACTGTTGAGGATTCTAAATATGAAAAAAAAAAAAAAAAACCTGGTTGGAATTAGTCAAGGGGTAACTGGTTACTTTTTCTAATATTTACTGAGTTAAATGTTTTGTTTCTTCCAGGGAACAAATCATTTCGCCTTCAAATCATCTTAGACAAAAATAATATCCAACTGTGCTGCAGAGGTCAGAAGATGTACAATTTTTCCTTCTCTGTTGTTTGAAAGGAATTCAAGAAATAAAATGGCAGAGGTTTAAGGTTAATATTCAGGATGAATGATGATAATTTAGATGATAAAACAGAAGATGAATCACATTCCTTATTTATCAGTGATAAAAATGGAAACACGTATGCCTACAACCAAATATCTCCATCTACACAAAACTTGACTAGTCATGTGAATTGGAGTTCTGCCAACACAGATAACATGGTCATCGATTGTGAAGTGGACCCTGCTATAGACAGTGATGAAAATGTTTCTTTAAACGCTCATTGTGTTGGAGGACAGGATCACCAGAAGTCTTCAAGTGATTTCATGACTGAGCAGATGTTAGAGATTCATAAAGACCCCGCATGTCAGTCTTCTGCATTTGTAGATAAGGAAGAGCCTGAGTATCTGCACAGCAATTGTCATTCCCTGGATGCAGCTCAGGACCAGAATGCTGAGCCCTCTCTGCCTTTTGTGTGGAAGCCTAATGCTGATTTGAACTGTAGAGACTCTTCTACCTTGGAGTTAAACCAGACTTTTGACCTGAAAGTGGACACAGTTAACTGCGCCTTTATAACACATCATGTTTTTGAAAGCAGTCAGTCTTTGCATGCTTGTGGTAATCTACAGCCAATGAGCATGAGAAGTGAAAAGACATCTTCTTTACCCTGTTCCACTTGGACATCATCCGATTCTGATAAGATGCATGTGAGAGGAATTAGTTATAATAGACAGAACTTTGAAAATCCTCAAGCCACAGCACCAGAGGCACACAACACAACATATGCAGCATTTTCTGATGATGTGATGCATACTGATGTTGGTCTAGATACTGAAAATCAATGTCAATATTCTTCAGGAAAGGTCACCAGTGAGTACACAGATGGGTCACAACAAAGACTAGTTGGAGAAAAAGAGATACAAGCTCTAACATCAGTTTCGGATGGCATGGAAGTGCCCAGTGGGTCTGTATTACAAGAGCTCTATTGTTTATCTAAAGATGAACCAAATAGTGAAACACATTCACAGAGCTCATACGGTCAAAAGGAAACGGGCCAAAATATAAGAGAGACAGTGCCTGATTGTCTTATCGATGATGAATGCTCTTTAGTGGTGCCAGATTTTGAAAAAAGTGAAGCCAAAGTGCTGGACTCAGCGCATGAAGTCACTGTGACCGAAGACCCCAAAATTGTTTCTAATGAGAAGGATTTGGAAACCCAAAATAGTACTATAGAACTGACACAAAATTGCTTACCAGGACAAAAGACAGTTGCATTATTTGAAATGTCTTGGGATACAAATGAAATGGTTATTAACGCAAATAACACAGCTTGCATGTCAACACCGATCATAGAACCCAGAGGTTTAAGCTTTACTTTTTCACCCATCAAATTGATGAAGAGCTGTAACAAAGCAGAGAAGAGTAACCGAGAGCCTAAAAATGTACTCAACTTGAAGGGGACAGCTATGAGCTTAGCTAAGCCTAGTCTAGGAAAATCAGCAAGTAAAACAAATACCCCTATAGGCAGCAAGTTTAGAAAAACTGAAATTATAAGTTACCCAAGACCAAACTTCAAGAATGTCAAAGCGAAAGTTATGTCCAGACCAGTGTTGCCCTCCAAAGAGCCTGCTTTATCTAAGGTCACACCCAAGCCTCAGCTGACCACGACTGCTTCATCCCCCTCAGCAGTGTCTTCCTCAAGGCACTTGACAGTTTTGAGCAAAACACCAAGATCTGACTTGAATGCAGACACGAAAGCAGAAATCTTAATTAACAAGGCACACAAGCAGCAGTTTAATAAACTCATTACTGGCCAGGCTGTGCATGTTACAACTCATTCTAAAAATGCTTCACACAGGGTTCCAAGAACAACATCTGCCGTGAAATCGAATCAGGAAGATGTTGACAAAACAAGTTCTTCTCATCCTGTATGTGAGACCGAGTCTGTAGCTGCATTTTTTCAAAAGATCAAAGGCGTACTCCCTGTTAAAATGGAAAGTGCAGAATGTTTGGGAATGACATACGCTCCTCACTTCGATAGGAACTCCCCTGAAAGGAAGGATGAAAAGGAAAACGAGATGCCCACTGAAAAGCAAGAGCTGAAAAAGGATGTTATGAATGAGACCTTTGAATATGGTTCTCTGTTTCTGGTGAGTGAAACTTTTTGCATGCTTCATGGGGTGGTGGAGAAAACTGAGAGGTGTTACAATTAGTTACTCATGAATAGCCAATAATATTACAGAACTATGTGAGCAAATTTGTTTTTCAGGTGTTAATTTTTTGTTTCGCCAGTCAGTACGTCATAGAATCTTAACAGGTCACATGGTAAATCTGTATATTGAAAGAAATCCTCAGTTCAGTATTTTGTGTTGTGTGTCAGTGTTCTTTATAGTAATGTGTTAAAAGAACCAATCAATATTTTTGCATAATTATTTGACATTAATAGCCTCATATAATTAGGTTATATTTTATTATAAATATAGGGGTTTGTAAACTTTCAAATGTGTTGGCCCACATTTAGGAAGTGGCTAGACAGTGCTGGTAAACATATCAACATAAAAATAACTCTCAGTCCTTTGCTGTTGAGGAGGTCACTCTGGAAATTCGAGCTCTCTCCTATGAGCAGGAATATTCTTGATTTTTACCCCTGACCAGCTCATGGAACTTTGGGGAAGTGATTTTTCCATACTTAAAGGTGCAAAGATTGGACTATTGGATGTCTAAGGTTTCTTGCAGCCCTAATATATTCATTTTTGTACAAAACAAATTTCACTTTATTTTTGTTCAGTGTATAAGCAGTATATTTTGCATAGTATCTGTTAAATAGAAGGACTAGACAAACTCATTTAAAGACAAAATTTTTCTTTGAACATGCGTATTTTTTTGGAAATAGCATTGAGGAAACTAGTTTTCTGAGTTTCAGAAACGTTTGACAGGGCTGTGCACTTGTCCTTAGCTCTATTTTTGGCAGTGGGGATTGGTATGTATTTTCAGCCCCATGCAGACTGTCCTTGGGTGCCTGTCCACTGGGCCTGGAATGGAGTTGGGTGCAGGGAAGACAAGATGTGACACAGATGTCCTGCTTCTCTGAGAAGAGAGAGATTGTGTGTTTCAGGAGGGGAGAGAGATAATAATGGGAAGAATGATTAAAAAGACCTGCTGGGTCAGGGAGACTGTCACTCTCCAGAATTTACAGGGCATATATTCTGGGTAGAGAAAATACATGCGTACACAATACACACATAAACATATACACATATGTACACATGCATGCATAGGTGGATGGATGGGTGGAGAGAGATGAAAAGATACTATGCACTCTGATTTAGAGAACTCTAGGTAGTGGGTATTAGGAGAGCTGGGGCTGCAGGACCGTGAGCAGTAAGTAAGGAACAAACTGAAGAGGATGGCGGGGGCTGCCACATTCAGAAGGCTTGAGGCGATTCACAGAGAGTGATTTTTATCTGGGTGGCACAGGAAAGCTGTCTATCCCTATCTGAATTTTAGAGAGATTGTATTGGCAGGGGGAGTAGAAAATCAGTTGAAAGCTGGTGAAACTAGAGAGATACTGAAGATGTGGTTTCAGGAATCCTGCTGAGAAATGATGTTGGCTTATACTAAGTCAGATTGAAAAGAGACATTTAAGAGGTAAGAGAGTAAGCAGGTAGAAATACCTGCCCTAGGTACATAAAGGTATCTGCCTGCATATAGTGAGGTGAATATGAGAAGAAGTAAACTCTGAGATGGGTAGGTAAAATTAATTTTAGAAACTACTCCCTATTCTTCTGTACAATGTGGTATGATAAATTATCAACCTCATACTATTTGGAAGGTTACCAGGAATTGAATTCACAGCTTTTACACTGAGCTACATCCTGTGACCTTTATTTTTATTTTGGAACAGAACTCTGCTAAGTCACTGACTTAGCTAGATTGTGTTTGAATGTGTGATCCTCCTGCCTCAGCCTTCCAGAGTGCTGGAATTACAGTTGCATGCCATCGTACCTGACACCAGTAGCATGGGATTACCATGAGGGTTAAATGAATTAATAGATATATATATAGAATTTAGAATTGTATTTTGCATGGCGTAAGGCTCTATATTAGCCCACACCAGTGGTAATAGCATTATTGTTATTGTTAAGTCAGAGGTGCCTGAAGGACAGAGTGGGGGGGTGCATACAGAAGTTACACATGGGGGAAGCAAGACTGTTAGCTTGGATAGATGGATTTCAGATACAGCAGTTTAGGTGGTAGGTGAAACAGCAAACAAGATCATGTAGGAAGAGTACATGGTGAGGAAAGAGTAGAATCAAGTCTGAGCCCTGGCAAAAGCAAGTGCTTAAAGATGTGGAAGAACAGGCCCCAGAGAAGCTATAGGCATATGGCTAGGAGGAAAGCCAGGAAAGAGCTCTGTTGGGTCCTAGGTGCCAGAGGGTCCCTGAGGACAGGCCCCAGCATCGTGCCTTGAATCAATGTGTGACATGGGCAACCTGGAGAACAATCTCACTAATGTATACAAAGGCAGACAGGATGAGCTGAAGAATCATCTGTGCAGTTTTAATTGCTTCTGTGTTAGTAACTTATCTTATTGTTGAGACAAAAAACTGGGCACCCAAAGTTAAAGGAGAAAGGTTTACTTAGCTCACAGTTTGGAGAGATATTTCAGTCCATAATGAGCTGGTTCCAAGGCAGGACAGCAGCTGTTCATCATAGTGGAAGATACCAAAAGCAACAACAGAAGAAAAGGGGCAAACCACTTGCTGTCCCTTATATTGTATCCAGGATACCTTCTAGGACGGGAATCACGCTCACACCCTTAATCCCAGCAATGGACCTTGAATCAATCACAAACTCTAGCTTTACTCTCCTCCAAAAAAGGCTGCCACTATATGAGGCTTTTAAAGAAAGTCTTTTATATATTTATATTATTTGGTACAAGGTCTTGCTGTGTAGCTCCAACTCATAGTGATCCTCCTGTCTCAGCTTCTCCAGCATTAGGATTACAGGCATGTATGACCATGCCCAGTTTTGGTGGCCAGCACAGTGCTCAGGGTTCTGGGACCAGCATGACATGCAGTACCAGGGATCAAACCTGGGTCCTTGTGCCTGGCAGGCAAGGTGCCTAGACCATGGAGCTATCTCCCCAGCCCTGCATGAGGCTTTGAGGGAACATCTAGACACAAACCATGATAGTTTCTAATAAAAAATGGAAATTAAATGTTTATTTGCATATAACACCACAAGGAAAATGGTACAGGGACAGTATTATCTGGACTAAAAATATGTTTTCTTCATAGGATTCTGCTTCAAAAACTACTACTGCCTCAGGAAGGAATACATCCAAGCCTGACTCTTGCAGTTTGCGGAAAACAGCATGTCCAAAAGCCAAAGTGGGGCCTATTGTTTCCTGTCTCAGGCGGAACAGCGACAGTAGAAACCTCAATTCTGATCGGGCCTTATCTCCTCAGCGGATAAGGCGTGTGTCTAGCATTGGTAAGAAAAAAATAGAAGTTCAACTATGCTAATGGCAGCTGATGAATTATTTGTAAAATCAAGCATCATGGCAGAAAGAGAATTTTGATTATAGGAGTAAATACATTCTGTCTCCAAACATTTAGCTATTTGTGATCCAGCATCCTGTGCAGGGAAGATAGAAAAAGAAGACAACACAGCCCTTATCTTTGGGCAGGGCAAAGGCTAATTGGAAGGGTATTTATGTGCACCAACTCATAAGCTCTTCCAGAAAGGTTGCACACATAATTGATAGCTGCTATAGACATGAATCATTTCATTAATTTTTTTTATAGATGCTTAAAGGCTTAACAGTACTTCAGTATTAGACTGCTATATGGGAGATTCATCATCTGCCTATGCCACATGTGAAAAACTTAATATTTTTCTTTGAATTTTATTGAAAGATGTGTATTTATGGGGAAGTGAGGGGAGCTAGAAAGTTAAATTTTTCTAAAATTGCCTTTTTGGTTGGCTTGTGTTTTAAACTCATGTTAGGATGGTGAAATCTGAGAGCTTCACTAGCAGCTATTAAGTGTTTTGCTAAATTTGGCAGATGTGCAGATTTTTTTTATTATGAATCATAACAGGAAATGGAAAAGTCATCCTTGTTTCATGAGGCTAAAAAACCATAAAGCCTCCTGGCCATCCCAGTACTGAGAGTGCTCTGTAGGGAACATTCCTTTCTTCTGCAGGTATGGCCTTGAGCAAAGTAAGGGCATGTCACATAGATTTAGAAGTAAATTCTCTTATAAAAGTACTGACTACTGTTGAATGACCTAAAAATATGTCTCTAAAATGACATGCTTACACATGTGAGAGTGTTTTAGAGAAACTAATAAAACTATCCCAAATCCCAGGGGGCCCTTGTACCTCACTGTAATTTAGCCTTTATAGGTTTTACTTTCAGTCTTATCACGAAGCCACTCCTGTGAGAACCTAATGTTGCTTTAGATTTCATGGCTTGTAGTTTGAGAGAGCAGACCGAGGATGAGATATGAGTATAAGGAGGGCTTCTAGTACATTTCTATTTCTACCCCTGGAGGAGCTTTGTGGAAGAGAGGAATGCATTAGCTTGAAGGAGTCACCATTTGGGAGAAAGACAGAAAGGAAGCTAAGGGACTAGGAGAAGCTAAGAGGCATGGGAGAAGCAGTCATCCTTGTTTCAAAAGTTGGGAATCAAGGCATCAGTGAGATGAAAGCTCTGGTCCTCATTGTTGCTGTGAGACAGGGCACATAGTGTTTTCCAGGGGGTGGGAGGCTCCCTCCCTGCTTGGAAGTTATGGGCACTCTAGCTTGATGGCATTTAGAGCTCATTGAATTTTCTGAGTAATGGCTGCTACTGGTACAATTCTCTGAGCCATATGATACCCACATCCTAGGAAACCAAAGAGTGCACATTTTTAAGAAATTAAGTCAATACCCACAGTGTACATAAAAATTCTTTTATGCTGTCCCATTAAACTGTGAAGCACATTTTTAAAGTCCTTTTACTATGTGCTACATAATGTCAGATATGAAATAGAGAAAAGTAGCTCTGTTTAGTCGGACACAGAGACATTTAGGGCTGGCCTGCATCTCATGCTGGTGAAGTTCACACTTGTGGGGAGGGTACATGTCTGGCGGTTCCTGTCCTTGAGGTCATGCCTGTAGCCCCTGCCTTCCATCCTTCCCTGCCAGACCATGGCTTCGGCTTTGGAGGAATTGCAGAATGATCTGGAAGAGGTAAAACCATTGCTGGAAAAGGCCACTAGGAAGAGAGCACGTGATGCCTTGACAGCTGAAAAAAAAAAATCTAAGATTAAAATAGAAATAAAGAATAAGATACAACAGAAATCACAATATAAACCAGAACTTCTTGACAGTAAAAATACTGGCTGCTGTGATTGCTGCCTTACAACAGGATACAGAGTGTAGATCAGTAATTATGGATGGGATCAGGCAGGTAAGGTTGTAAAAATCTACATTACCTTAACTGGATGGAGTTCATCGAGTTCCTGCTGAGAGCGTGCAGGTGCATTTCACAGAAGTCATTTGATCTTTTGGTAAAGAATCTAAATGGGAAGAATTACTCTATGATTGTGAACAGTCTCTTGAAACCCATCTCAGTGGAAGGCAGTTCAAAAAAAAATTAAGACTGATACGGTTTTTATCTTGTGTAGAAAAACACTCTGTGGGAATACTTAGCTCAGGTTGAGAGAGTACAGAGAAAAAAGCCGTCCTATGGTGCTGAGACACATCCTAGTGAGGGATTAATGAAGGTTCTAAAGAAAATTTATGAAGATGGAGATGATGATATGAAGCAAACCATTTAACAAAGCCTGGGTGGAATCGAGAGAAGCAAGCCAAAGGAGCTAAGGAATTTTGAGATTTTCAAGTCCTTTTGAGACCTATGATACAGAAATACTGGGATTTCCAAGTATGGAGCTGCATATGGAAATTTGACAGAAACCCAAAAGCCTTCAAAGTAAAGGTATTCAATTCTCTCTTTTTTAGTGGCAGACTTATTTAAGATGTGCATATTAAGTACTTCCTCCAAAGATGGTTTCATTAGTACCCTGGTCATTTTGTTCATGAAAGGGTCGCATCGTATTCTCATTCAACTATAAAAAGTCTTGCCTAATGAAAACAATACTCTGTATGTATTTTTGTTCAGCTAGGAGTTAGAAAAGAAAAGCATATCCTTGTCTGTAAGTTATAGATGTCAGCTTCCACTAATGTAAGAATAAGAATAAAACCTAATTTTTGTATAAAATTCAAGTTTGTGCTTGTGCTTCAAATTTGCTGTAGAGCAGAACTCCCATTGCCAGCTTGAGCAGTGCAAAGAGCAGGGATTACTGTGCACTAATCCAATCACAAATATTTCTATCTAGATTTAAATTGTTTATGAATATAGAATTGAAGTAATAGACAAGCATCTTTGTGTAGTACAAGTTAGTAAGTTCTACCATGGATCAGATAGCTTCAAAACTAATAACCATAAAGTAAAAATAAGTTGAGAATCCATCTATTCTTATGTTCCACAAAGTTGGATTTTTATGTTAAAAAAAGTTAAAGTTTTGAGCTTTTATTGCCTTGTGTCAATTAACTCAAAAACTAAATTATATGTACAAAAGTTTTTGGTCTGATTTAAAAAACTAAATTATATTTTACCTGGTAGTTTTCCATACATGAATGGAAGAAAATGTAAGTAGAAACATTATAGATTTGAATTTGAGTTTTAGGCGTGGTTGTTTTAGGGGGTAAGTGGGAACTGAACTCAGGACCTTGTGCTTGCCAGGCAAGTGCTATGCTGCTGAGCTGTATCCCTGGCTTTGAATTTGAGCTTTATATTTGAGCAGTTGGAAGACTTTTATGAACTAAATGTTTGTATAACCTTAAATTTGTGTGTAGAAGCCCTAATCTTCAGTGTGACTGTATTAGAGCAGTAGTCTTTGAAGGGGTGACCAAGTTAAATGAGGTAAAATGTGGTGGACCCTAAATGGTTGGCACTGGTGTTCTTAGAATAAGAGGAGCAGACATGAGACCTCTCTGCCTGCCATCTCAGATACAAGAAAAGTAGCCATCTTCAAACCAGAACAACAGCCCTTAGAAGGAACCAGATTGGACTACACTTTAATTTTGGACTTTGGACTCCAGAACTGTCAGAAAATAATGTTCTGTTGTTCAAGCCATCTAGCCTATTGGTATTTGTTTTGGCATCCTGAGCAGACTAAGGCAGAAGACTGGCTTGACTATGAGTTATAAAAAAAATTTAGAAAAAAAATTAATAGCTACTGACTCTTTTGGATATTTACAATAAATTGAGAGGCAGTTGTTGTGAAGGCGAGGAAATGTAATCAGCACAGAGTTAAAGTAGAGCAGAAAATCAGCAGGCAAAAACAATATGCCTTTAGATCATCCAGAGCCATTGCCATGCACTGTATAATGGAGTCTTTGTGTATTCGAAAATTGAAACCAAATGGACATCCACTGTGTTCATGCAGAGTTACACTGCTGAAAGGTGAGCAGCAGGAATGTCCAGCCCATCAAAAGGCTTCAATAAATCCTTTCAGAAAACTAAGTAGGAAACCAGACCCAGAGTTTAAATAGCTATTTTTTTGAAGCTTTAACCCATTTATGCCAAAGGTTTAATTTTTTTGACGTTTTACACGAAATTCATATCTGTTACCTAGAAAAATTCAAAGAACAAGAATTTGAAGAGAAAAAAGTTTATAATGTTCCATTGTTTATTGCACTTCAAAAATGAAACAGAATTATAATGAAGTCCAGTGGATTTTTTCCTTTTTGTCAAAATATGGACATTTTTATAAAATGTAACAAATTAAATCCAAAGTAGTTTTGCATTCTTTGGAATATGTATTTTTTAATGCCCTCAATTGAGTACAATGACTTAATGATGAAAATCCTAAGTGTTTGTTTATAATGCCAATGAAAGCAGCTCACACTAGTAACAGTGTATTGTTTCAGGCCCTTTTAAATCATTATACTTATGAATTCATATAATCATCATAGTAATTTTGTGAGGCTTACTTCTGTTTTGTAAGTTAGGAAACCATCACTGAGAAGTTAAGTAATTTGTCTGAAATTATACATCTGAGAAGTGGCAGGGGGCAGAATTAGACTAGACAGCTAAGGCTCTTGAGTCCAAAGTTTTAGCCTCACAGTATTAATCTAAAGAAGCACTGTTAGGAGGATCATGAGTTTGGAAGACATTAAAAATTCTTGCGCTTGGCTGAATAGCTTAACTGTGGCACTTTTTAAGCCCTTGATTTAGAACTCTGTATCAGTTGACCATGATATAAATGATTCTCATGGTTATTAAAAACTAAAGCTGCAAAATAATAACTGCTTAGTGAGCATGTTATGATCAATTCAGATGGTCTGTCACATGCTGTCAAAGGAAATACCAGCTCTGACCAGGTTTGAGACTACGAATGTACCTGTTCCACAGATGTTTTTGCAATTGCTCTTGTCAGTGA